CGCTCTGTAAATATTTGTTAAGTGAATGAATGATCTCCACCTTTTCCTTCTGCAAATAGCTTCAGCCTCCTCCTTTCCCTGCCTCTCCCACGTTTTCTACTAAAACTGCTGCAATTAATACAACTACCCCCTCTGAATTTAATGTTTCCCTCCTCTCCTTGCCCAATTATAGACGTAGAGCTAATGAGGAGTCAAGTACTTCAAGAGCCACCAATAAGGACTGAAGAGATGGGGTAACAGTCATTCACCAGCAGGGTTGACGTTTGAAGTCATTTAGACACAGACACCCTTAGTGTGACATCATGGAGGCGGTTCACACGCTGAAAGAAAGACGCTCCCAGCATTCCGTATTTTCCTCTGATCTCTTCATTTTTTAACCTGGCTTCAGACCTCGAGTCGTCTCAAGATCTTCTGGGACAGTTGGTCCAAATTGAATCTCAAGGTTCCAGTAGAAAATTTTAGCCTCTTGCCCTGATGAGGAGCTCAGTGTGGAGACTAGTTCATGCTGATCAAATGATTGTGTACTTTCTAGAACGATAGAAGACTCATGTGGCCCATGCAGTTGAGATGTTGCATGTGGCCCATGCAGTTGAGACGTTGCATGTGGCCCATGCGTTTTTCACCTGCTTCAAGAGGGACTTTCCCAGATGTCTCATTTAGTCTGTTAACAATCGGGATACCGCTAAATACGAGAGCAAATATAATCGAGTAAATAGAGGGCATTCTTTGCCTCTCGTTGGATTCCTTCAGTGTCTGTACATGTGAAATTCTTGACAGAATTAGATGCAGTTTTACGGTAGAGTTCCAGCTGTCCAAGTTCTAAATAACAGCTACCACTAACCCCATGGGGGAAGATTCCTAACAATTTTCCGTGTTTTCTGTGTTAGTGACAGGTTTCATGCGTACACGCCGCTATTAAAGCATTAGACTTTCTTTGATTTCTTAATCATTAACAACTTCAGCTCGGATTGCCCATGGAGCTGCAAGCTGTTAAAATGATCATTTGCCTCTTGCTAATTTGGAAACCAAGAGTTGTTTCTTCATTTGATGAGGCACAGGTCTTTCTCAGAGCGTGTGCGGCTCAGGAGCACTGAGGAGCTGCTGTCAGAAAACCTCGTCTAAAAATACTGAATTTGTAAAATAAATGGGACGAAGAGAGAAGATACTCTTAAATACTAAAAAGTTCAGTTCTTTAAGGGTTTCATCAAGGGACTTTTTTCGGTAGGAAGTGTCTCTGGCATTTATAGTTTCATGTTTAAATGGTACTTTATGAAGAAAGCAGAGAGGCAGGAGGTCTGAAAGCTGTTCAATTGCTCAAAGGTCAGTTGGAATTCAACCGGGGTTAACATAATGTTGAATGCTCATTTGAGTCAACAGAATGTAAGAAACATCCTGGAAGATATCTATTACTACATGGCCTTTTTGAAACCATGCCTCTGCCATGTTTTCCCCATAGTAAATGCTCATAAATATTTGTTCAATCGATTTGATAGATGCTATGATCAATTGGTGGTAGGATAAAATGAAATCTGTTCCCCTGAGGATGCTTTCATTCATTTATTAGCCACTCAGTGATACTTATTTATATTCCAAATGTAGTTTATTGGGAACAAATTAAAAATTGAGGACTCAGTTTATAAAAAAGTGACTTTTCTTTGATGTGATGGTTGTACTTGCACAACATTGGGCTGAAAGAATTTATTTTGGGGCCAACAGGCTCCCATAGACTAGTTCTGGGCAGGCTATTCAAATATCTGGGAGGCTCGTGAAGGTCTTGTTCTTAAGCCCCGTGTTAAAAATTTTGCTGGGTAGTCTAGGGTGAGCCTGTCATTTGAGCTTTCTGAAAAGCTACCCAGTTACTGTTATACATTTAGGTTTCAGGACCTAAGGTCTGATGATATCATCTTTAACTGTTTCTTCTAAGGAGAATTAGTTACCACAGATGTTGTTCAACCTATTTGTAATGTGGCTCTTCTTGACCTCTTGTGAAACTTTCCTCGGGGAAGACCCAATTCTGAGGTGATGGTAGTGATAGGATGTTTTCCTTAGAGCTTCAGGTAAATGACCATCCAGCTTCCCTCTGTCCAGCGTTTCTGATTTCCAGGGATTCTAAGGACCAACCCCATGTCAGGCAATACACTGAGGATACGCCCCTATGTGACTTGGTACTGAAGACAAAACAGGAGATGCAAAAGTCAACATTACTGGGGAGCTCTGTCAGAGGCTCACAGGAATGCAACTCTTGTATCTGAGCCATATTCCTGCCCTTCCTGATTTCATTATGGCCCACACTGCCCCCAGGCTTGGCCCTCAACCTTTCTCTGAAGAGATACAGCAGAAGGTTCTGGCTTACAGAGGTCCTACTGACACGGCAAACAAAGTGTATCCGTTCATTTTACTCTTCACCCTACTACTGTGGCGTTCGAACAAATCCACTCATTTCTCCGGTCTGACTGTATTTTCTTTCCTTTTCTTTTTTCCTTTCCTTTCCTTTTCTCTTCTTTCCTTTCCTTCTTCCTTTCCTTTTCCTTTACCTTTACCTTTCCTCTATAAGATTTGTTCTTGTGTACTGACAGACCTGCACGATTTCTCCAAAATTGACCAACTTCCGTTTTATCTACAAGCTAATCTTGATGTATTTTCCATCTGTATAATATATGTACCTCTAATCACCGCTTCCCACTCAATATCATTATTATTAATTATAATGTGTTCTGGTTTTGAGTGCTTATTAAAAATATCATATTTCTTTCCCTTAGGAATTTCCTCTGTCTTCATCTTTCTGAGGAAGCAGATAATTTTGATAAGTACTGTGTGCAAGTAGATTGTGGGAGAGCAGCTGTCCTCTAAAAACTTACATTCTAAAAGGAATAGACATCATTTCCTTTTCTGGCTAAATTTTACTTGTCCTCGACATTTCTGCTTAGGAAGTGTGTGTGGTATATTAGATGCTGTGCGGGACCGAGGAAGCTTGATAAAACAAAGTCTCATAATTACCCTCTAATCCCATATTAAAATTTAATAGAATTTAAGTCTATAAGATATCTTTCCATTTTCCCTTCTGCAGTGTAAAGAATTGAAATCCTTTTAACCATTTCTGTTAGTTAATACTAATATTTAACTTAACTCCATTAAGTTAAATGAGGAAACATGTTTAAACAGTTTTAGCCTGTTCTATTAGTGGTATAAAATTTCATAGCTGAAAAAAGAGGGCTAAAATCAGATGAAGCCTGGAATGGGTCAGTGAGGGTGAGGAACTTCCTCAGGGATAAAATCATTCAGGGCTTCTAGAACAGAATGGTTGGCAACTGCTACCCCACATGAGTACTCAAAGTACTTGCCCCACCAAGTCTTTTTTGGTTCTCTGGGATGATTCTTTAAGGAGGAAAAAAATTTAAAAATTCAATTTTTCATCAGTGACACTTGTAGCACAGGATAGTACTAACTCTTCTGTCATCGTTTGGTGTGGCCCCAGTGGAAAAGTCCTTTCAGATTTTTTTCCCCCATTAAATAAAAGGATAGGTTTGAGTTGTTCGGTGTCATTAGAAAAATAACAATCCACATTTGGGTGGCAAGGGGCCATCACCAAGATGATAACACAGATGACATGTGTTGTCCTCTTTTTCCTACCCTGTTCACTTTCTGACTTTATGTTTGCTTTTCATAGTTCTCTGTGAGATCTGTCACAGAAGCAGTGAATGTAAATGTCGTTATGAGGGACAGCAGCTTTTCTTGGAAGGTTTGTTTATCCAAGTTCTAATGAACAACATTCAAGATGGAGTCGTTTCCTAACACAAACCGCGCATTGGTTTGGGTGATGTCTCACCAGGTCCATCCATTTCATATCTGTTGTCAGAGTGCAGGTGCCTTTGGGCGTGCCCTGCTCATGTGTCAGGAACATTGTTATTCTTGGTAACTTCATATCACTGATGCAGTTGATTTGTGGTATTAGTGTTAGAGTCAAGTGTCTGGGTGGAGAGAATATTAGGTGGTCTTATTTATAAGTATAATGAGAAATGGGGAGAAGATGGGAAAATAAACAAAGTGAAGAGTATCTCGAGGTCCTAAGCTTATTGTAGATTTTAATCTTTTCTTACGTTCATCTGTCTTTTTTACCTAAATTTTTAACATGAAGGAAAATAAATGAAATCTTTGAAAAATTCTTCTATCTTATTTTGTATTCATTCATCTGAGGACACTTGCCCAGGCTTTTTTTCATATGTGCTGTTTCTCTCTCAAGCAGACTTTCCTTCTTGCCTGTGCTGCTGAAGCCTGTCTTCTCTGTCTTAGCAGGAAAGTTCATGAGTTTGTATGACTAGGACTTAATGATAAATGCGTGACTATAGCGGACGTGGATTCTTTTTTTTTTTTAAATTTGGTAACCTAGATTTATAGGTGGATTCTTGCATGTACTTCTCTGCTAGCTGATGCGTATGGTCTTTGTATTTGCAGGCAAGGTTAGGGGTCATTGGAGATGATTGTGTTGAGATGCATGGAAGGCTTTAGGAAGTATGAAAAAGAGTGTGGTAGAGTTTGTATGCTGAATCGCGTATGAGAGATATTAATTAATCGAAAGCCATTCATTAACATTTCTCAGGTCCCTGCTCCTAGGTCTTATTTCAGATTAAAGTCCCAATGTAGTTAAAATGTTTTCCCTTGACCCACTGGCCACTAAAAATTATGTTCACACTGCGTGTCATCACGGGCATTGTAGCCACCCCATCTGAAGAAATACCTTTGTAACTCCTTTGTTCTTAGACACATTTCTGAATTTTGAAAAATTGTTCCCCTTCCCCAATCCCTCTCCCCTTTTTCTTTACACAATTGAAAAAAATTTCTTCATCCTAACTTTTTGAGACTATCAGGGAAAAAAAAATCCTCCAACGATCATGGGACATTAAAGAAGATAGAGTAAAATCAAATGCCTCAGGAGTTATGTGTAGTGCGACAAAACAAGGAATAATTGTATTTGTTTGTTTTTCCCCATCTAATATTTTTAGGTACAAGCCTATGCAGAAGGTGGATGGGGTTGCAGATGGTTTCACAGGAAGTGGTCAACAGACCGGCACATCTGTTGAACAAACTGTAATAGCCCAAAGTCAACATCATCAACAGTTTTTAGGTATGTCAAGGTGTAACGCATAGTATGGTTGCTATTAAGATGTTGAAAACAAGAGAACAATAGTAGTGTTTTCTCCAAGTGCTGTGTCTATTACAGATGTGAGCCACACAGAAACATTTGTGTGTGCACTGAAACTCTGCCTATCATGGGATAGTTCTAGACCATTTCTGTTTCTTCGTGTTCACTAGAGCTTCTTTCAAAAAGTATCAAGCCGTGTAGGACTTCTAAATGCATAGGAGTTAAAGGCTCATAGCTATGAAATTGTCTTGAGGAATTTGTATTAATTGGGCTTTCATGATCAAAGTTGTGTTTACTTTCAGTAGTTAACTTCGAGGGCCTACAAGAATTCTCCTTTCCTATGTATAAAGTTGCAAATGCGTGGTCTCAGGTTAGAAAAAAAAGAAATTCCTATAAACTTTAAAAAAGTTATTCTTTTAAACTGATCACAATATATCCTATTTTTGTAATTCCGTAGATGGTTTATGTGTTGCTTTTCATTTAAAGAGTGGGGAAGTAGAACTCGAACATTCTGCATGTTGTGGTCATAGCTACCAGAGCAAGGAGTGGCGCTGCAATCGACAGCTTTTCTAGAGATGAACATGCGTAGATTCCGTACAACATATCAAGATAAATAGAAGCTACCAGAGAGTGCACACGTGTCTGGGTTGCGTGTGTGTTTGTCTGTGTGCCCCTTCTGACAAACAACTAAAAAGGACGCTCACATCAAAATAGTTACTGAAGTTGAAAACACGATGGCAACCCTTCCCAAACTGGAGTCCTCCCGCACACTCTTGAAAGCCTCGAACTCTCAAAGAGGGTTTTAATTTTGTTTTCTAATCCTGTATTTTTATTTCAATTCAAATCTGTCAAGAAATAATAAAGACATATTCTGGGTTATCTAGAAGAGGAGAACGATTACTGTTCTGTGGTTTTAGTTCATACATTTCTATTTGAATTTATGATAAAACAGGCATCAAAGTGTACTGATATCCTGAGCCCATGAGAAAAGAACAAGGAGAGACTTACTATGTAGCTTACACAAATTATGTAATGCATCCCAAGGGAAGGCTAAATGATGTCCCAGTGCGCTGTGTGGAGGAAAGTTCCACAGCTCGTTTGAATACAGAAGAGTAATGGGGGAACCAGCCACCAGGAAGTACATGTTGGCAGAGGCCTGCCAAGTTCAGAAGATCTGGGCTGTGGCAGTCAATGCCACATTCATGCTGCAAGAGGTAATTCAGTTATAGGACATCAGCAGCATCCATCCTGTCAAATTCATATTGTTAAGTTTAATGTGATTTTTATAGTTTTATTTGGGTTCATTCTGTAGCTTTTTGGCTTATGATGATACAAGAAGTATGAGCATAACAAGTGTAAAGCTAGGTTTTTTTTTTATTAATTCTTAAGTAACATAATACTAAAATAACTAAAATTGATACTGGCCAGCTTGAGATATTTTCCTTTCAATAGTGGTCCTATGTTGAGAGACATTATGGTATGTTATTTCCAGTATAACAGTAGTGAAAATTTAGTTCCTACACAATTTTAACATTCCTCCTCTATTCTTTTATACTGATGATGTTGCTACATTTTTGTTTGAAAAATACTACTATGAAAAGTTCTTAATCGTTGGACTCTGGCCTTCACATTTGTTTTTTTTCTTTTCTTAGTCTATCTTAAATTTCTCCTCATTAATCTGTAATTGCCACAATCCACAATAGTTGGTTTTTTTTTTTTTCCTGTTGTGTTGTCATGGCAACAGATGCATCTCGAGCACTTCCAGAGTTTGGAGAAGTTGAAATCTCTTCTCTGCCAGATGGTACTACCTTTGAGGATATCAAGTCACTGCAGAGTCTTTATCGAGAGCACTGTGAGGTAAGTTTTTTCAAACACAGTAGGAATGCACGCTAAGTTTTGCCAGACAGCTTGCTAAAACAAAATAATCCAACTTATTCCTAAAGGACAAGGGAAATTGGTTCATAAGTCAAAAGTTCATCATTCTTCTTATCTCAGACTGAAGAAAGGAGGGCTGTGGGAAAGGGAGAATGCATTTTACTGCCCATCTTCTTAGCATCTCCTAATCAGAATCCTTGGACATGGCAATTGCATTTTAGGTACATACCCTAGAAAATATGGGTGAATATAAGTGAACTTGTTGCATTATTGTTTTTAGTGCAAAAGATTGGTTATAGCTTCCACATCTAAAAGGCCACTGCGTAAATAAAACATCATACAGTCTATAGAGTACTATGCAGCCATTAAAAATAATAGACCCTTCTAGATGTACTCCTGCGGACTGAGTTCTAGGGTTTATTTTTAAGAGAAAAGTAAGATGTAAAGCAGCGTGTACCGTATACTATCATTCGAGTGAAAAAGAACATGTATACAAATCTCCAGCAGAAAGAACAAAATGTTCAGTGTGTTAATGGTAGTTGCCTTTGTGATGGAGACTGGATGAGTGGGAGTCAGTGGAAAAGAATTAATTTCCCAATATCCCTTTTAACCTTTTGAATTTTATACCATTAACTATGTATTTCTGTCAAAAATATTTTCTGAAAAAAAAATATATTTTCTGGAGGGCTGCCTTGCTGGGTCAGACGAGCATGCGACTTTTGACCCTGGGGTCATGAATCCAAGCCCCATGTTGTGTGTGGAGATGACCTCAATAAATAATCTTTTAAAAAGAGGGAAAAGAAAAAGATATGTCCTAGAAATGTTTAATGGAGCATTTTAGATGTTATTGAGGTGATTGAGGATTATGGAGGCTCTAGTTCTGTTTTGTTTTTGTGGTTAATTAAAGTTTCTCTGGGTATTTCCCATCCCTGCTTCTACTTCTTTTTCTGAGTATTCCCCACCGGAACTGGCTCGTTGTCTCCAAGAGGTGACCACTCTCCAAGCCAGCCTTTTAATACACCTGCAGCTCCCCTGGTGGAAAGGGTAGAACAGATTGCAACAAATGCTTCTCCTTTTGAAAGAGGAATCTGTTTAGAATTTAAGTACCTTTATTCCAGGGCTATTTGTGATCTGCTTAGAAGTAAAAGATATTCCTTGGGGTTTCACGGGCAGTCGTCCTGACTGCTGACAATGCAGTATGCAGTGAGAAGTCTCCGCTCATAGCATTCACAGATTTTTTTTTTCCCACTCCAGAAATACAAACTGCTTGAGTGCATCAGAGTGCTTGTCAAGGGTGCTGGATTATTACCACCCAAGGGCAAGTTCTCTCTTTATTAACAAACCATGTGCCAAAAGTGTTTTCCAACATGCCCTGCCGGTTCGTTCCCAACATTTTCTGGAACGATGAAAGACTCTTAATACTCATCTCCCTTTAAGTACTGTGCTTCTCCCAACATTTGAGAATTTCTAGATGAACCTTATGTATCTCAAAAAAAAAAAAAATCTTTCTTTGGACGTGATTATCATGTATCTTCAATAAAGATTTATATAAAGATTCTCTAAGCAATTTCTCATGTCTCTGTGTTCAGGTGAATCTTGCTTTAAGCAAACCAGCCTACACAGATATAATTTGGGTTTAAGTTTCTTTTATTTGTTCAAAATATAAATAGGAGCAGGGTTTATTTATATTACTAAAGAATGTCCAGTAAGCTTATTCGAAGTGGAAAACTCCACCAGTAAGATGAAAGATGACATCATCTTTTGGATTACAAAAATTACATTAGCGTACCCACATTCGGGAATAGTCTGTGTGAAGAGATACAGTGGTGTGTGGTAATCAGTCTTTGTGGGAAATGGCAGCCCACGGAGCCCAGAGAATGAATGATCCCCACTTACTTCAGGATCACCAGCATTCATGCCGTCTCTCATGAGGCATGGAAAAGAAATTCCAATTGTATGATAAAGAAGAATTCCAGTTTTTTTTTTCATGTCAAACTTCCAAACTTTTGAAGTGCAGGTGTTCAGTCTCATATCCCGTCCTGTAAATAGTCACTTGCCCTAAAGCAGTACAATAAGGATTATTTAAAAATACATTTGCCTATATATTTTAGTCTGAACATATTTGAAAGTAGGTGGACAAATGGTAAAATGTTTTATTCATTTGTAAAAATGTCTCAAGTGAGGCTGATGTGAATATCCCTTTCAAAAGAATTATTTGAGATTATTTAATTTGGAGAGGGACCACATGTAAGATGTACTGAATTCTTCCCTTGCCTTATTTTTTTTCATATTCTATACCATTTATGTTTTTAAGAAAGATTAATCTACCTATTTTGCCTGGGTTTTTTTTTTCTGGAATTCTCACAATTTGCTTATCAAAGCTCTTTTATAAGTATCACTAGTTTTTTTATGGAAGGCACAAGTAGAATTTTCCACACAAGTTGCTGCAACAGTAATTGGTTTTATTTTTATAAAATCTTAGCTTTCTTATAGCGATCTCATAGATAGAGATATGTAGGTATTATATGTGGCATTAATAGTTGCTTTATTAATAGATATCTCCTGGAATGTGCCTAAGGTACAATTGGGAAAGGAGTGTAATAATTTGCCTTGGGGTGCCTGGGTGGCACAGTCAGTTTAGGGGCCCAACTCTTGGTTTTGGGTCAGGTCACGGTCTCAGGGTCCTGACAATCCAGCCTTGGGTCTGGCTTTATGGTCAGCACGGAATCTGCTAACTTTCTCTCTCACTCCCCCTCTGCCCTCCCCTGTGCTTACTCACTCATGCTCTCTCTCTCTCTCTCTCTCTCTCAAAATAAATAAATAAATCTTTAAAAAATAATAATTTCCTCCTTGAGAACATTTTTGCCTAGGAGGAAGGCCATCTGTCTGCCTTTTAATTTCAAGGCTTAACACTTGCATCTTTTATTGTTCCTGATATCAAAGGATGAAAAGTGTTAATTAACATGCTCCCAAACATGTTTTGCTTGATGTTTGACTTGGTTTCAGGGTGTGTTTATATAGAAAATCCATTATTCTCTGTACCCTACAGAGGGCCAGAGACCTACACGGGTTTCACAGACTCTAGAACTAGGGAGTTAATAGTTTTCCTCTTTTTGCCTCGGATACCCAGATTGGCTCTCTTGGTTGCCCCCAGTGGTCTCCTTTCTTCTAGGAATTTTGTGGATCTTGCTGGGGCTGTTTTACCTGTCCTCATTCTCAGTGCTGAGGACACCAGACACATTATGCTGATGGCTTCTGTCTTTTATGCCCAAAATAATCACAGAATCACATGTTCTTTGCACAAACAAGTTATTCTTTGGTTTTCTGACTGCTTTTATCTGAAGGCAAATTTATAAACTAATTGCTATGGCAGGGGGAAATTAAATATGATCATCAAAATTTAATGAAGGGGGCAAATTTTAGAATCATAAAAAAAAATATCTTTGATGCAGCTGGGAAATGGTTCTAGGAGAGAAAATGAAGGAGGAGATGAGAGCCCTGCGCCCAAGGTTAGAGAAGGGAGTAGTCTTAAAGCTGCTCTCTAAAGAGAAGGAGCAGAGGGAGGATTGAAGCGAAGGCATGGCTTGACCGCAGAGGTGCCCTTTTTCTGCCCAGATGGACACTGTCCTCTGAAGGCCAGCCCCGTCATGGTTCCTGCTCCAGCCTCTGGTTGACTGGGAACACTCTGGAATCATGGTCAGCAGCCCCAGGACAGGTGCATTTAGCCTTGGCTCTTGTCTGCCCCGCACAGCCAGCTCCACACCCTTCACTTCTGCGCTCTTGGATGGCCATGGCCTCCCCTGGCACCCTGGGGACTCTGTCCTTCTGGGTCTAAGAAGGAGAAGAGTGGCTCCCGTTGTGGAGGCAGAAGGAAGCAGCGTGGAAAGGAGTGGAAGAAAAGTAAGAGAAGACAATGGAGATGAAGGGAAGTAAGCGAGAAAAAGAGAGGGTAACGCAAAGATATGAGGCCGTGTTGGGGGGACTACACGTCATCCCGTTGGTCTTTCCAGAGTTCTGTTCTCCCTGCCTGAGCTCATCGGTTTGCCGATGTCCATCAGCAAAATGTACCCCAGTTTCACCGTGTAGCTGCCGCTCCCGCAGCCGCGCTCACCATCTCCATATCCCGATACGCCACATGCTCCTCACCAACCCCATCAGCGGCGTCGTAAGGCAACTCTGATGACCGTTCGGTTTTGTTTTTGGGTTTTTTTTAGGCAATATTGGATGTTGTTGTGAATCTTCAGTTTAGCCTGATAGAAAAACTGTGGCAAACATTCTGGCGCTATTCTCCCTCGACTCCGACCGACGGCACTACCATCACTGAATCAAGGTCAGAATCAATAGGCTTTTCCGATTCATGTTCATGGCTGAGTAGATGTCACAGCTAATAAATGAGAGATCTGTATACCAGTTGTGAACCTTACCTGATAACATTAAATGAATAGATTGAGATGAACCACAAACCACTCTCTCGAGGCTTCCGTGTGTGTGTCGTAGCTCCCATTTTGATCGATCTGGGGGACCGTGGTAGAGCTATTTCATCCTCAGGGAATGAGTATCGTATCTGCCCTTCATACCGTCCGAGTGTGATGGCGCCTCGGCAGCTCTGGGGGACTGTGGTGTGTATCCGGCCGCAGGGCGCCAGGGCAGTGGTGGTGTAGTTCTAACCTCAGTGATATTTGCTAAACTAAAACTATTTTTAAAGTCCATTTTCTTTTTTATCCTCATTTGCCATCTATTCATTTGCTACATTTATTCACACCAGCAATCTGAGTGAAATAGAAAGTCGACTTCCGAAAGCAAAGCTGATAACTCTGTGCAAACATGAGTCTATCCTGAAATGGATGTGTAACTGTGACCATGGGATGTACCAGGCTTTGGTGGAGATTCTCATCCCCGACGTGCTTAGACCTATTCCTAGTAAGTTAAATGCAGACGAGTACGGATGCTTTTGTTCTCATACATTCCACCCAAGTAGTTTGGGAAAGTGACGTTGCAATCTAGGGTGATTCTAATCTCATTTAGATTTGCCAATTTAAAAAAAAAAAAAAAAAGAAAAAGAAACATGCAACACAAGAGTTTTGCACGAAAGCAGCCTAGAGCAAAACTGTAGGAAACCGGGCAAAAAAAAAAAAAAAAAAAAAGATCTGTTCTCCAATCGTTCATTTTCTTTTCGACAGAAAAGACAACTTATGGGTGTGACAGCCCCAATAACTAATTGCAAGAACACTCCCAGGCCAGGCAACCTTGTAAAGATTATTCTACCCAAGGACACAGTTTCCTTCATAAAGCCAAAAGTTTTTGAAATCTGTAGACCAGCCTCTTTCATGGTTGCTTTTGATTTGAAATGAATTTAGCTTGGTTTCCACTGAAGTTGAATTCCTGTATGAAAGCATTTACTTTGTCCCGTCCGTCATGTTGAGAACTACGAATGCAGTTTCCATTAACAGTAACGGTTAACCGGCATGTTGAGCGAAAAGTCTCTGCGTACAACTACACGAGCATTGTATTCCCACCGTGAGGCAAATAGGAGTTACACAGATAAGTTAGATGACTTTTTTTTCTGTGATGTTGTTGATGAAACTACCTTGTGGCCAACAAAGCTATTTCTGCAAGTGTCAATATAAACGCTAGTATGGATGCTTGTGTCCGAGGCAACTGGAAGGATTTTATGCCAACATCTTCATGAGCACCTAGTGACCTTAGCTTTTAAAGAAATGGGACAGAGTTTCCACTCCGCAGTGACATAATAAGGTAAAAGCAGTCTCATAGCTCATGAAATTGGCAACTGTGTACTTCAAGTGCACCGTTCACCGATGATTTATATTAAATCATAACAAAACAAGAAGGAAGGAGTTAGTAGAAGAAAAGGTGAAGATACCAGCATTTGTATGTCTATGCTTTCTTTTTTCTCAATATGATAAACAACAGTGGAAGATAGGAGTGCTTTCGTATGTTTCCCACCATCTTGAAATACATGCTTAGCCACTCGTTTACATATAATATCAATAAACATGTGTATATGGCTCTAGAAATAAGTTTTTAAAAAAATAAATCCAACCATCAGTGTCTCACATTTTTATAAATTGGTAATATTTTCCACTCTCTCTGCACCATGTTTCCTGACAGTTGACTAAAATGATGTTGTCATGGAAAATTTCCATGCATGTATTCTCTACCGATGTACATTCCAGAATCTCGATTTTTCTTGTTTTTCTCCTGCTCCCTGTGCCCTGAGTGATAATCTCTAGAGATTTTTAAGAGAAGTTGCGTAGGGCTCGCTCCTTAGCCTGTGACATCTTTGCCCCCCACCCCAAGTACCATTTTTCTCATGAAGTACAAGAAGAGAGATCTGTGAGCTCTTTCTTGTTTGAGGCGAATCAACAACATCAACTTCATTAAAAAATTCTGAAATCTTTTGCTTCTGTTACACCACAAGACTTGTGCAGTCAACAGTTCCCTAACCTAAATCATGTATCCGTTTTAGCTGACTCTCAGCCTCATAATTTTAAGTGCACGATACACTTGACCTTTTTTCTTTCTTTCTTTATTTTTTTGCAAATTTTGATTCAAAAACCAATTTATTCTGTCAGGAAGTCTGTCTCTACATTTAACAGACAACTCAACTTCAGGAATTTACAGATGACCATAATTTTAGAGTTTCTCTGACATTATAAGGGACATTAATGTGCTAACCTACAGCGTACATTTAAAAATTTAATTCTGATTCTATAAGAAGACCTCACAAAACAAAGCTTAAAATACAGCTTAAATAGCTATCTTCTGATCGTGTACATTTTAATATAAAATCACAAGCAGGTTGAGACAAGTTAGCTGTGGAATAGTTTTAAATTTTAAACCATCCATTCATGAGAAAAAGTTGTCAGAGTCAATCTGCACAATTTGATCTGACACGAATCCCTATAGAGAGAGCAAACTTAATTTTATTTTTAAAAATTATATTTTCCTGGCTACTAGTACTTCACTCTACCATTTACTGTCCAGATGGGATTCCTTTTTTTAGCCAAAAAAAGTCTGCATATCACACTAATTTGAAGTCAGCTTGAAGCTACTATATTCTAAAATACATTTATCTGAAAATGAAAAGCAGTTAAGTGTAAGAATTGTATAAGAACTCAACTGGTAACACTTATGTACAATTATGAGTATACGTAAAAGTGGCCCCAAATGTCATTTAGTACAAGAAAGTAAAAACTTACAGTCATTTGATTAAAAAAAAAAATTTTTTATCTTATGATCTTCCCAGCATCAAATTTGTCTAGATAAAACAAGACCCATACTCAGTAGTTTTTTTTTAAAGTAACTTCTCTTAGTTCTTGGGTTTTTTTATGCAGATCAAATAATTATTATATATTAATAGTAGAAAACATGCAAAATACAGATAGCGCAGTTGAATTTTGAACAAAATTTTCCTGAGTTTCAAAAAGGGTCGTTAAATTTTTTTTCACTCTTTTTCATTTCCATTCATGCCTGCCCTCCATGGTTCTAGTACATAAGACAGCAGAAGACTTTTTTTTTTTTTCTTTTTTCCTTTTTTGGCTCAAGTGGGAAGCTTTGGAAATTTCCCAAGATTAGTTCTCAAGAAATTTCCAACTCAGTGTTTCCAGTAGATGATTGTCATGGTTAAGAGTCAATACTTCTTCAAAATTTAGTCCTTTCAACCTCTCTTCTGTCATTTGGCCAGTTGGAAAAAAAATGATTTTAAAAATCAATTGTTTTTATGACTGGGTCGTTACAATTTGTATCTTTCACAAGCAACTTGAGCAAGCTAAATTATTTCTAGCCCTGCTTTACCAAAAGTATCAGAGAAGCATGTCAGACTCATTTGAGCGCAGGAAGAAAAACCAAGATATTTAATCCCAGCATCAATATTAATATTCTTGGGAGCTTTGGAGAAAAATGTAACTTCCGGGTTTCTTGTAGGAGACTCCAAATTATAATGTCTACCACATTAGAGGGAACCCACAGAACTTTCTTTCATGTTGTGGGTGTTTCAACCACTTATCTATTAAATGTCTGAAACCACTCCCTACACTGGGGAGCCTTGGGTATAGATGAAGTAAAATACTGAATGACTTGTTGACCAAGCGAAAAATTCTCTGTTTATTATATTATACAACCCATCTCAGGAAGCAGGTCCCTTCTTGGAAAAGAGTTGTAGTCATTCCCGGTAACTGTTGATGCTTCTAGTCATTTTATGACCACCATAAAAACTACTCTCGTGGGACCCAGTCCTCTTTCAGATCTTAACAGATAGGTGAAGAATACGGAATGGACTGTTTTAGGAATCTCTTTAGAATATTGGTCTCTGGGGACAGCAACTATATCACCCTGATCTATTATCTCTACCTACCAAGTGAAACGGTGAATAGTTGTCTGAAATTTTCAAGTCCGGCAATTTTAATTTTTACCTTACTTTTCAACCAGAGTAAGAGAGAACCACTCCCTGAGTATATTCTAGAATGGATAGATGTGTAGAGAAAGGGAGAAAGCTTTGCCTTGTTCCCTTTTTAACTAAAGAAAGGAAAATAGATTTAGAGCTTGAAAAATCAGGATGAAGAATTTACAAAGAAAGTACTTAGCCCTTGAGCATTAAGCTGCTAACGAAAAGGCTGTTTTGTCTAAGGTAGAAAATTCCACAAGTATATTCACAACTGGTATATGTTGCTGTCAGCAAAAATGTTTGAATGTTTGCATTTCCTAACAAAGTGTCATAAATATCTGGGAACAAAACAACTTTAAAACCAAACCAAACCAAACAAAAAAGCCCAAAATGCAATTCTTGGATGCTTTCAAAGTTAGGAATTGTATTTAATGTAAAAGTCTCATCAATGAGGATAGTATAAGATCTGTGTGATTTCAGATGTCATGTGTGCATGTTTTTCTCTTCCCCGGGAATAAAGATTAACATCCTTTGGTGTCTTTTTCATTCTGCTTTTATTCTTCAACATTTAGGTGCCTTGACCCAAGCCATTCGAAATTTTGCAAAAAGCCTTGAAGGTTGGCTTTCCAATGCCATGAACAATATCCCACAGAGAATGATACAAACCAAGGTAAGTTAGTATGTGTTTGCCTTTTCTTCTGTTTTTAGGAAACCTTTCTGAGCTGTGAAGTTTAGATCTGTCCTGTTAAATGGTGTCATGTACGATGTTGGTATCAGAATATACTGAGCTTTTCAAACTTTTTTTTCTACTTGGGCTTTATAACCATGTAATCAAGAACGTGCACGAGAGATGGCGTTTGATATCACTCCTTCCGAAGAAACTAAAGAAACGTTTTAAGTGTGGAGTATTTGTAAGCCCTTTTCCAAAGTGTATGTCTCAGATTGTATATTTCAGATATGTTGCAGTGTATTTATCATTAATTTCAAAAATGAAAAAGAAGAGCCCGGAATGTTCAAATAGTTTCCACTTGAGGGAGTTTTAGATTTTTTTTTTTTAAAGTCCCGAACTACACTCATTTATAATGTGAAACGTTCATGTACATTTAATATCCTTTTGATTTTCAGGATTTTTTTTTTTTTTTGAACACTGGAGAATGCTTAAGTGAGCAGTTATCTCATAATTGATGGTGTTTATCTGGAATGTGGGTTGTAGGGCTCCAGATATGACTTGTGATCTCCACTGTGTGCCCTGCTCGCTTTGTTACTTTAGGTTAGTCTGTGAACGTATCCTATAGCAAGATGCGACTGATTCTGTCTAAACTTTGTATCAAAAGTCACATTTCTGGCTTTTTCTCAATGGCTATGTCCACTGTCCTCAGCCGTACAGCTTGTCTTTCAGTGTGGGGACACAGTCGATAAGTTGACCTTCTTGTAACTGACAGGCCTCTTTGGGAACACAAGTCACTCCTAGTTCCTTCTGCTTTGACCTAAGATGTGCAGTATCACTTTCCAAAACATACAGAAAAAACAAACAAACAAAAAAATAAAATACACAGCAGGGACGTTTCATGGATATGCCCACCTTAGATCGCTGCTCTAGAACTATGCTGTCAATGCAGTAAGGGGAGTCACAGTGGCTATTTAAATTTGAATTTGAATTTGAAATTTAATTTAAGTTAAAGTTTTAGTTCTCCAGCCACACTAGCTAGCTGTGTTTCAGGTGTACCACAGCTCCTTGTGGCCAGTGGCTACCATATTTGGCAGCACACCTACAGAGCATGACCATCATTGCAGAAAGTTCTAGAGTGCCACATTGAGGTGGGCAAAGGAAGGGGGTACTGTTTGATCATGATGGTTCCAGGAATGCTTTCCAGTTTGCTAACTTAGTCATATTCACATTAGAATGTCAAACAGCTGAAAGGACCTTCCTTCCCAGTATTATCGAAGTGAATGTAGTAGCAATCTAATTGCAATATTGGCCAATTTCATTGGTCCCCAGAGTTGATGTGGATGATCTGCCTTGGGGGACAGTGTCTTCTGCTTTTCTTCTGCCACTCATGTACAGCCTGTTTTCATCTGAGCACTCAATCAATGAAGATAATCTGCTCCAACAAAGGAAAGAGCCTAATTTGGTTATGACGGGCCCTTGCTATCAAACCTGCCCCACCACCATAACATAGTTTTGGTGCAACCGTGAGCCATCTGCTTAACCCCTTTAAGTCACTATGTGTGTCCCATGTGACAGTTATGAGAGTTCAGGTGATATATGTGAGGCACTGAACATGTTGTCTGGCACTTAAGTTTGTCCTCGGTTAATAGAAACCACAGAAATGGAAAAAAGTGTAAGACCTCTTCCAACTTCCATATAGTCCCAAAACATCTCACTATTAAGACAGAGCATCCTTTGACCTTTGAACACCCTGGATGAAACTGTTGAATCAGCTGCTTCTTACATACCACTTGTCACTTAATGACATGACATGCAGTCCTGTAGATATGTTAAAAATGCTCATTAGATTTATTGTGCATGTGACAGATTTCCATGAGATCGTGAGATTTAGATATTTACCTAGACTTTTTTTTTTTTTTTTTTTACACATTATCTTTGCTATCTTTCAGTGTAACCTGTTTCGTTCAGGGTCTCAGTAGGAAGCAAATGGTAGATCCAAGGGGAGAATAACTGAAAAGAATTTAAGAAGGGTCTATTCCCAAAGATGTGAGCAGTTAAGAAAACTCAGAGGACTGGTAAATCACCCTGGGGCTGGCAACAGTGGGGAGACATGAGCTTCCCTAGATCTGAAGGGGAAAGAGGTAAAAGTTATGGCATTAGGACATCATCCCCTTCCCTCAAGGACTGTGTGGCCTTAGTCCAAAAAAGCAAGCTTTGCCGAAACATGGAGAGAGCAGAAGTTGTAGGGGAATAAATTCTCTGAACACTCTTTCTTTTCCCCCATCGTTCTGTTCTTCCCACTGCGTATCATTGGCCAAACCCAACTGGAAGCCAAAATGTAAGGGCAGTGCTTAATGTAGTCCATTCAGGGCAGCCTTCCTGGGCAGAGGAGCCTGGAGAAGAATGGCAAGTAGATGTCGAGGAGCAAATGGAGAAATCGTGGATGGCTCTTGTACCGAAATTCCGATCGTGCAAAAGAATTCTTGTTGCCGATGTCTGATAAGTTTATTGGCTATGTATTTGCTAATACTAAAAACACCTTCTCTAAAATAAAAGCCGTAAGAGCGAATCTGGATGACAGTGCTTTGAAGACTATAAAAATCTTTTATCCATTTAAAAAAGTGAGATGGTACATTTCAGTTTCCCAAATAAAAAGGGAAAAAAAATGGTATTACTGAGTTTATATCGACAGTTCTACAGAGAGTAAAAGAGAAATGAAAATCAACACTTTTCCTGCTTCCCTAGACAAAGTCATTTCTTGCAAGACTGGTTTAATTAATGCTGCACTCAGATGTCGAAGAACATGGGAGTTTGTTTTAGTCTTGACCTCTACCTACTCAAAAGGAAAATAATACTTGGTTTTGAGATTTAAATGCTATAATTTACAAGTAACCTCTCCCACAAAATGAGTTCGAAATAAGTATCAGAGGGAAGCAGTTACAATTTGGCAAGGGAATAAAGATTTGAAGATTGCGGCGGTCTCTTTTCCTGGAATGGAAAGCTACCCGGTTTTGATGGGATTTCTTTCTAGGTTGCCGCTGTAAGTGCCTTTGCCCAGACTCTGCGAAGATACACATCGCTCAATCACCTGGCCCAGGCAGCTCGTGCAGTGCTCCAGAACACTTCCCAGATCAACCAGATGCTCAATGACCTCAACCGTGTCGACTTTGCCAATGTCCAGGTACTCTGCTTTCTTTCAAAATATCTCTTGGAAGGAAAGACACCCCATTTTTACTTGCTCTTTCCTACGTTTCCTCAAGGCATAGACAGCATCTGTGGTCCTGTGTCCTGAAAGAGGGGAATCTGACTCAGCCGGGACTTTACTGCTCGTCTGTCTCGTAGTCTGCTGAGATGTATTGTACTCAATGTGACGTATGTCAGCAGGGTTTGCTAATTACTGGAGTCAGGACAGTCACAGTCATGGAAGTTAGGTAGGCAAGAGATTAAACTCTTCCATCTGCTAGCTGTGCAATCTTGGACAAGTTGCTTAACTGCTCTGGGCTTTCCCCTTTCTACCTTACAACATCTATCTGAGATAATTGTTACATATTTAGTAATACATGAAGTTCTTTGTGCTGTAACACACAAGAAATTTATGTTTTTAATAGTTCCCTATCTTGGGGTGCCTGGGTGGCTCAGTAGGTTAAGTGCCTGCCTTTGGCTCAGGTCATGATCTCAGGGCCCTGGGATCCAGCCCTGCATTGGGCTCCTTGCTCAGCAGGGATCCCCTCTCCCTCTGACCTACCTCCCTACTTGGGTGTGCTTGCTCGCTCACTCTCGTTCTTTCTCTCTCCTTCTCAAATAAATAAAATCTTTTAAAAAAAACAGTGCCCCATCTTGAAAGAACTAAGAACACTTAGAAACTATTTCAGAGCATCTGGTAAACACTTGTTCATTTGCAAAGAATTGGGAGCAATATATTTGGCTCTTTTGTTTGTCCCAGTAGAAAAAAAAGGTATTTTAACCTTGCGATCAAACTATTTATTTATACTTTAAAGTACACTTATAAAGACAGGCAACTTAGGAATATTATTATGAACTCCCACAAATATTTTATTTCAGATATTAAAATAATGAAACTAGTTGTTACCATATAAAAATAGCACATTGCTCAAAGCAGAAGCAACAGAGGAAAGAAAAAAAATACCTAAACTGAACATGACCAAAATGAAAGATTTTTGTGCTTCAAGAGATGAGCAAGAAAGTGAAATGACAACTAATGGAATTGAGAACATTTTTGCAAATTATCTGATACAAACTTATATCTAGAATATATAAAGAACTCTTACAACCCAATAATAAAAAGACAACCCAGTTTGAAAAGGGCAAAGATCTGCATAGCCATTTCTCCAAAGAAGACAGACAGATGGCCAGTAAGCCCCTGAAAAGATCATGAATGGAATTGGCACTGGGGAAATGCAGCTCAGAACCACAGTGGGATTTTTACTTCATCCACACTAAAATGGGTATAATCAGACAGATAATCGCAGAAAGAAGGGAGTTTAAGGTGGAATATGCTACCTTAAGAAAGGGATTACTGATTAAAATGAACAGTGTGAGAAGTGAGACCCAAGATGTAGGGGAAAGGAAGGGCACTGCCCGGAACCCCACGCACCACTGACCAGAATGTCAAATGCAGCCACTTTGGAAAACAGTGTAGCAGTTTCTGCAGGGGTTGACGTAGAGTTCCCGTATGACTTAGCAACTTCACTCCTAGACCAAGAGAAACAAAATCAAGGCCACGTAAAACGTGTACATGGACGTTCATAGCAGCATAATTCACCTTCGCTGCATGACCATGGAAACAACCCCGATGGCCGCTAACTGACAAGTACATAACATATTCACGCAATGGAACATTATGTGGCATCAAAAAGAAATGAGGTTCTGACACTTGCTACGTTGTGAATGAACTTTGAAGATACTATGCTAAGGGAAAGAAGCCAAACGCAAAGGGTCACATAGTGCATGATTCCTTTTATACGGAATGTGCAGAATAGATAAGTCTATAAGAGATAGAAAATAGGTTCTTGATTGCCTGGGTTCTAGGGACTGGGAATTGAAAGGTGACGGATTGCAGGGGGTGGTCTTTTGGGGGACGTGAAAACATTCTAAAATCGTGACAGGTGGACAACTCAATGTTCTACAAGAAGCCATTGAGTGATATATTTTAAACGAGTGAATTTTTTGATATGAGAATTATATCTCAGTAAAACTTAAACAATGCCTTCGCTTTAAAATAAACCACCAATTACTCCTGTTTCCTAGAAATTTTAATCTGCACGTCTGGTCTGGTTTTACCATTTCATTATATCAAAAAGTAATAATTGGGCTTGATTCACTTTGGGATATAGTAATTAGTTAAGTTTGTTCTGACTTTCATGGATTGGGCTCAAACTGCTGGTTATGTGAAGTCTTAAAAAATCTGCCTTTCTATGTATCTGTGTGTTTATCTATGTAAAAACACGTTTAAATACACAGGCAAACACAAAATGTCTATAAGAACAAACTGTCTCAGGCTTTGCAAAGCCATTAGCTTAACATAGTTCAATGAAATTTACGTTAACTGGTTTTAGTGAGACTATTAGAAGTTCATATTGCCTGAAAATTTATCCTGATATTTCTTTCACATCTCCATTCAGAAGAGATACTTTAAAAAGCACCTTTAGGGGCGCCTGGGTGGCTCAGTGGGTTAAAGCCTCTGCCTTCAGCTCAGGTCATGATCCCAGGGGCTCTCTGCTCAGCAGGGAACCTGTTTCCTCCTTTCTCTCTGCCTACTTGTGGTCTCTGTCAAATAAATAAAATCTTAAAAATAAATAATAAAAATAAAAAGCACTTTTGAAAAAGTCGAAGTGGTAAGGCAACCTGTGGTTTCAAATGTGACATTAAGTTCCAGAACAGAAAATAGAAAGAATAATTCCTGGTACTATCTGAGAAAGATTTTCTGTTCCTTTTGTATACTCCTGTATCTGAGACCCTGTGAAGTATTTATGCAAATGAGTTCCTCCTGGTTGTAACTGCCCACTTTGGGATCATCTTTGCATTTAAATGGTGGATTTTATCTCTGCTCTGCTCTTCCTCCCCAACCAACTCAGGCTCCCTTTTCCCTTCTTCTGGAGTGTTCTTGGGTCTGCATGACAGTTATCAGTGCTGATACCTGGGTGACTCACCTCTGTCCTCTGAGACCCTTTCCTTTCTTCAGAGGACCAGGAGCACAGTGGCCTGTTTCCCCACCACCTTCCTTCTCACACTGTGTTCATTTTGATCAGTTTTCTCTTTCTTAGGGTATCGTGTTCTCCACCTTTGACTCCCTTTCCTTCCTTTTCTGTTGGGAGCTTGGCTCGGTTTTTGTAGCGTCCTCTGGATTCTCCATCCTCTGCCTCTCCTTGCACTTTTGTCACCCTCTCCTGGTCATCTGGACGTCGCCCCTGGCCCTTCCAAAGAGACCTCAGCAACAGGGACATGTGTGAAGATGGTGGTCTTGCAATAAAGGGACTGTAATGTTTAACAAGGAGATGACTCTTCAGTGTCAATATTATAATGCTCTTAAGAGCTTGAAAATACTAAGAGGTTTCCTTCAGGACATCCGTAAATCTTTTTCACCACTTCGTCCTTCTCTAATTAACTCCTCTTTCACTCAGGCATTCAAAATACCCCATCTAGGGGCAGGTGTCTGGGTGGCTCAATCCGTTAAGCACCTGACTCTTTATTTCAGCTGGGGTCCTGATCTTGAGTTGTGAGATTGAGCCTGAGTCCTTCTGCTCTCAGCAGGGAGTCTGCTTGAACTTTTTCTCCCCCTCCCTCCGCTCCTCCCCCCACTTGTGCTGTCTCACTCTCTCTCTCAAATACATAAACAAATCTTACTAAACAAAGATCAGCTGGGGTGCCTGGGTGGCTCAGTGGGTTAAGCCTCCGCCTTTGGCTCAAGTCATGATCTCAAGGTCCTGGGATCGAGCCCTGCATCGGGCTCTCTGCTCAGCAGGGAGCCTGTTTCCTCCCTTCTCTCTCTACCTGCCTCTCTGCCTACTTGTGATCTCTGTCAAATAAATAAATAAAATCTTTTAAAAAATCATCTTTCTACCACAGTATAATTGGTTTTGTTTTATTTAATTGATAACATTGCAGTGGTATCGTTTTTGTGTGTAAATAAATAGTTTTTCATCCACATTATGGGCAAATAGCTTTTGGTGGGTTGACCTGATAACTTATCCATTGTGCACACTTACGTTTGCTTATTTAAAAGATACTCCGATTGTGACGCAACCGACTCCTTATCATTTTGGATGTAATTTATTTGTAAGTGAAGAACATCTTTAATGTTCATCTTAGCTTTTTCCCTTTATAGAGCTGAAAAGTCCAAATTCCTTTCACAAGGGAATATTTATAGAGTACTCTATTGTTAATGTATTTTCAGTCTCCAAAGTAGTAAAATGATGTATAATGTAAAGTAATTTGAAAAGCCAGAATAATGCCCTGTGGTTTTATTTTTTTAAGTCAGTGTTCAGTCCCAATCACCCTCTCTTTCCTAAAACTGTCTTCCAAGTAAATAGTGAGTTTGAATTTATGTTATGAAAGGAAATTGAATTCCTCCAAGGAAGCCAGTGAGTTCCTCCCCCCAGCCCCCACCCCAGTTATCAACACACAAACAAACGAAAAACAACCCACCCTCCCTACAATGAATACAGAGTTTCAGTTTTGCAAAATGAAAGAGTTGATTGCATTATAATATATAATATATATATTATTTTATATGTATTTTAATATTTTATATTAATATATAATATATAAATATATATTTGAAAGGAAAGAGTTGATTGCATTATAATATATAATATATAAATTATAATTATATTTCATTTATGAATATATTTCATAAATGAATATGTTTCATAAATTATGAAATGTTTTCATATATTTCATATAAAATAATATATTTTATATAAAATAATTTTCATAAATTATGAACATATTTCATAAATAAATATATTTCATTTATGAAAATGAAAGAGTTGATTGCATTATAAGGAACATATAGTTAACACTCCTGTACTGTACTCTTAAAAATGGTTAAGATGATAAACTTATGTTATTAGTTTTTTATCACAATTTTAAAAATGCTTAGATATTAATGAAGGAGAACAAAAACAATCTTCCCTATCCTTTCCTTGATGCCTAGATTCTTCCCTGGATACTCTCCTGGACTCTTAATATAAAATTTCAGAGTCATTTGACAGTGTGTGTTGGAAGCGTTTAACTATTATTCTTATATAATTCTATCATAAAGGAGTAAATGCAGACTTTGCAAAGATGTCACTTCAAGATGGCTAATTCCAGCATTTTACCTAAAAAATCATAATGAACATGAATGTCTAACTGTGTGGAATTGATTATGAAAATAATGGTATATTCATGCATTAAAGCAAATTTAGTCATTCAGCAATTAAATATAGCTCTACATTTGCCTACATGGAAATTCAGTTTTATTATATATATCATATATAAATTCAGTTCTCATAAGAGAAACTAAGCAGAATCTCTACTCGAATGTATAATGTGGTCCTTTTTTATTTTAAATATTTATATATGCATAAGCACATAGTGCATGCGAATCGTTTAAAAGCATGTTTTAGTTATCTCTTAGTGTTGACATCTTAGATATTCCTAATATTTTGTTCCTTTGTGCTCATTCGTATTTTCAGTTTTTTCTAGAATTATATTTATAGGGCACTTTAAACTTTGAAAGTGATTCTTAGAAGGTACATCTGAAAGACTTTATGGTTAATTAGATCAGAGAAGGATAGCGGATGGTGTCATCTATTGAAAATTAAGAAGGAACTGTAGGTTTACCTAGGGAAATAGAATAAATTCAGTTTGGGCATTTTGTTTTTAAAATGCCTCCCAGTTGAAGTGTCTCTTGAGTAGGTAATGTCTGTACCATGAGAAGAGATGTGGGAACCAGAGAATGAAGGTGAGGGGTTTCCTCAACGGAGGCTGTCTGTGTGAGTGGACTCGCCCTCCGACAGCTCATGGCGTGGAAGCTATACACACCCTTTCCAGAAAATTACACACATGATCACACTGTTTTAGAGGTAGAATTAAGACCTTCACAGACACCCCTCCACAGGAGCTTTTCTTGAAAACATTTTCTCGTTGCAGTGAACGCAGCTTAAAAATTCTTGTCACATCACATTTCTCTGTTTTATACTTCGGGAAAATGAGGCCTACATAGATCACACGAGTTGCTTGAGGTGGGTTTAGCTGACACACGCCCTGCATTAAAGTCCATGTCCTCTGACTCTCAGTCAAACATTATATTCCCAATAATTATGTTTTGACCCTGAGAGTGTATATTTTTTTAATTTTTAAATATAACACAGGGACACTTGCGTGGGTCAGCGTCTGCCTTCGGCTCGGGTCACGATCCCGGGGTCCTGGGATGAGCCCTGCGGTTACCTTCCTGCTCAGTGGGGAGCCTGCGTCTCCCTCTGCTCCTTCCCCTGCTCCCCTGCTCCTACTAAAGAGATGAAATCTAAGAAATGAAATATAACACAGCCCTGGAAATGTCACAAAACTTAGAGCAACTACTGAAAAGCAGCTTTAAAGGTTTCTGTTCCAGGGGCGCCTGGGGGGCTCACTGGGCTAAGCCTCTGCTTTCAGCTCAGGTCATGATCTCAGGGTCTTGGGATCGAGTCCTGCGTCGGGCTCTCTGCTCAGCAGGGAGCCTGCCTCCTCCTCCTCGTCTCTCTGCCTGCCTCTCTGCCTACTTGTGATCTGTCAAAAAAAAAAAAAAAAAATCAAAAACTCAGACAGCACATGCTCCCACCTCCTACCACCCCGGGCTTGTTTCTCTTTTAATCCTGAGGGAACACTTTTGGCCAATCGAATCTGCTTTTCCATCTGACTTTCCCTAAATCTTCTCAAACGGATTGATTGGCTTTAAAGTTTTCTCTGATTGTGGGGTGAGGTGGAGCGGGGAGGAAATGAGGGAGAGCCGACTTGTGAAGGCAGACCCCGTACACTGTCAGTTCAGCCACTCTTTTTCTTTAGATGATCGTGTATTTGAGTCCTTCACGTGGACTAGCTGATGTGGAAAAACCAAGTCACGCTTCCGTGTCATGTCTCGTTTTCAGGAGCAGAGGCGGTGCTGGTTTTCTACGACCCACAAGCGGTCCTTCGTTTTCTTAATTCATGTCGTTGTTGGAAGCTGTCCTTGTAATTTCCTGTTCACGAGCAGGGTCTGTGTGCCGACCTTCAAGGGAAAGATGCTGAGTTGAAGTTTCCCTTTGCTTTCCGTGTCCTGTCCCAGGAGCAGGCTTCTTGGGTGTGCCAGTGTGATGACAACATGGTCCAGAGACTAGAGACAGACTTCAAGATGACCCTCCAGCAGCAGAGCACCCTGGAGCAGTGGGCCGCGTGGCTGGACAATGTGATGATGCAGGCGCTAAAACCGTACGAGGGAAGGCCCAGTTTTCCTAAAGCTGCCCGGCAATTTCTGCTAAAATGGTCTTTCTACAGGTATTGTCTCACTTTTTCCTGAGCTTTATGTATTGTCCATGTTCTGCAAATAGGCGTGCTTCTCAGACGGGGGAAAGAAACGAGCGGAGACTTGGCTATTACCTTCAGCCCACCTCGGTGATTCTAGCCACGTGGGGTCGTACCAGCAGGTTTATGGGGATGAACCTCTCGTTTGGGAATCGAAGCCTCTTGCTCCCAGCCCTGGCATTCCCAGGTGGGAGGTCTCAGGCACCAGTCCAGAAGACAAATTCAGCAACAGACAGAAAAGGGCCCAGCTCCCTCCCTCTTGCAGACGTACATTATTTGGGCCTCTGTGGTGAAGACTTAACCCCACTCTCCTCCTGATTTGCTGGTGTGGGTGATTTGCGAGCTGCGGTCACTCGACCAGGAGCATCACTTTCACTTGGAAGCGTGTTCCAAAAGGGAACGCTCAGGCCGCTCCCCTAAATCTGCCAGAATCAGGAACTATAGTGCTTGAACCCAGCCATCTGTGCTTTTAAGAAAGTCTTTTAAGTGATGGTGACGCAAGCTCAGAACCATCCAGTTCATTTCTTAATTTTATCAGCTACGACTGTTTTCAAACCTAGCTGCACATTAGAATTAGTGTAAAAACGATAAAAATCGGAGGAACGTCCCCCAACCCTATTGATTTGAAAATCTTGATGCGTGGATGGGAGTGATTAGGAAATGAGGTCATCAGAAATTTGGTCTTCAGAGAGCTTCCTCCTGATGATTCTAACCCATAGCCAGTTTAAGAACCAATAATCAGTAGATGGTACACTATGAATCCCTTATGGACTAAAATCGTATATGTATGTTTCTGTCGACATGGAACCCCGGAAGAGAAAACCTTTCAGGTGACATGATATGTGATATCAAGGGTCGGGATAAGTTGTTGGCCATAGGTCTGCCCTAAGGATTAAAAACAGAGCCTGTGTACATGGGCTTATATACCTTATATACCATATATATATATATATATATGATGAAACTGAGAGGTGGGGTTTCATTTCATAACACAAATAAGGTAAGTTAAGCTCTAGCTCTGCTCTGATGTTTCATTAAGTGTTAATTTCATGTTACCTAATAGTTTTCTGATGTTTAGCCCAGGGTCAAGTGAAGGAAAGCTTGCCTGCTTTGTATTACTGTCATTTCATTTTTGTTTTGGGACTGGAATAATTCCACAGTTCTGTCTCTCCTACATCGGATACCTTTAGCCCACGGGATTTGAGAAGGGCCTTATTAGAATGCTGCCCGACTCAGTGAGCCTCCTCGTATGCTGCAGCGAGGCCAGTGGTAGGTTTAGATGTCTGGGTGTTAACGAGGTAGATGTCGATGAGAGGTGTAGGTTTTCCCTGGATACATGGGGAAGATTTCGAAAACATTGTCACAGTGTCTCAAAGAAACCACAGCAACAGTAGGGGTAATTGTAAGAATTCAGAATTTTAATTTGGGAACATTTCTTAAGAACATTTTGGATATTTTCCCATTTGCCTATGACTTGATTTTTTTTTTTTATTCAAACATTGTCTTCTCAGCAAGTCATACAGATGGTATATGTATTTCATGAAAGACTGAGGAAACCAAAGTTATACAAGCTGATTCGTCTAGAACCTATAAGGCCAATAGCTTCGCCAATATCAGAAAATGCAAGGTTGTGGGTTTTTTCTTTTTTCTTCCTTCTTAGTGCTTTCTTATGTTGCTAAGTCAGACTTGCCCTACTCCTTCCTGTGGGTTTTTATTTTTTTTCTATATTTAGTTGATATCGTTTTAGAAATAAACCCCTAGAGCCTCCATCTCCGCAGAGATCTGTTGCAAGTATCTTGAAAGGAGAGAAAATTACTTACTTGTATTTCTTGTTCTCTGCAGATATACAAACCCGGCAGGCCATCCCTTGCCTGCCCTCTGTCCTTGCTTGAGTCGGGGATAATTGGCTTGTTATTATTAGACACTATTATGGTTATTATTTTCATTTCAAAAAGACTCAAAGGCAGATAGTTCAGGGCCACAGAAGGCATATTCAGACAGATGCATACCTCCTGCTGGTAGGAAAAGTCCATGGCTTAGAAATGGAAGAGCCTTTAAAATCCGAACTGTTTTTTACTGAGGCTTAAGAACATTTTGGTAATGAAATTGCATTCCCAAACTATCAGAGAGGCAGAACTACAGAGTTATGTGTGTGTGTGGTTTTTTTTCAACCCCATGGTTCTGGCATTGTAGTAAGAATTTGGCAGTGCCACACACAGACCCTTCATGTTCTGAAGCCAGGTGATCTCGTAATTTCTGAAGTTCTGTGTGTATATTTACATGCATACAAAGAGAGAAATGGGCTGGCAGACAATCAGGACAGCAGGTGACACGCTGCTGCAGACACGCTGTGCTCCAAATGGGGGTCTCTCCTGGCCTAACCTGGCTTTGAATGACTACCGTTGGCTCCCTGGGAGGTGAGAAGAAGATATCACCACCTTTCTTGGGCAGACGTGGAGAAGTCATGTGGGCCATTTCTCAGCCGGTGTGTTCTGTGGTTAACAGAAGAGAACATTCCTGAGGGTCACCCAAATAACTCCCTTTTTAAAGAACAAAATATATAGCTTTGATACAGTGACTTGAAAGGGGATACAGGGAACTTAGTTTTCCTACAACTGGACGATTTATACATCTTCCAGAAAGTAATAGTTTTTTGGAGCCGACCGTCAGCACTGTTTGAAAAGAATGTGTAGGGGGTCACCGGTGCGACGCTGTCCCCTTTCTCCTTAGGAAGGTTGTGGCATATCCCCAGATGCACAGAGTGGACTGAGTATCACTGGTTAGCGTATGTGCTACAGCTTCCAGACCGTAGATGTAAAGATAAATCCACAAAGGGGTCCCTCATCTGTTGTAAAATAATTAACTCGAGAACTCTGATTTTAAAAGAAGTTGAATTGGTGGTAACTTAGCAACGCAAAATCCAGTGGAGTCTGTTTTGCAACATATCTTACAGAAGTCTGAATCAGACAAAAAGTTTCCAATTAAACCACTAATTGTGTCATTTAATACTTGGCTCGTAGGGCAAAGGCCCAACATAGAAAAGATACTGAAGGAGACGTAGCATTAATCATGCAAGTCAACTGATGTTTTTCTATACCTACGACAGTAATTTCATGGCGTGCTTATCAGTATTTGGTAAAAATAGCTAGGGATTTTACCGGAAGGTCAGCAGATTTCTTATTTGTTTTGTTTTCCAGCAGATTTTGGTATTACGTGTGTATTTTGTGCTGAAATAAGTTGATTGCCTAACTGTCTAAAAGTTTCCAAAACACTTAGAATAAAATCCAAGGCCTTGTCATGGCCTACAAGACCCAACATCAGCCAGGAGTGACCCGGGCCCACTTTGGTTTCTTCTCTTTGCTCCTTGTCTTCAAGGGCACGAGCCTCCCGGCTCTTCTTTGAACGCATCAAGCATGGTTCTGCCTCACCGTCTTGGCGTTTGCTCTCCTTTCTGCCGGGGAAGCTCCCACGTTCACAAGGCTCCCTTCAGTCCAGTTTCCTCCGTTATGTCCCCTCTTCAGACAACCTCGCGTAAAGTGCCTGCCCCCATCACTCTCTGCTTTCCCTGATTTATTTTTTTCACATAGGATTTATCACGGCCTCACTTTATATTTTATATCTACCTGTGGTTTTTCTTCCCAGCCATTTCTCTTACTAGAGTGTGAGCTCTGTTGAGACCAGAATTTCCTGTGAGTCGCTCTGGAACAAGACACTGGCGCAGAGTAGGAATGCGATAATCCTCTACCCAGTGGACGAATGTAAATTCCCTTGGGAAAAAGCAGGGGGCTCAGCAGATGTCTATAGCACTGTCAGAAGGCTACTCAATCTGAATGCTTTTCTTAGTCATTAACACGATTTTAGGGTTTTTCTATCTCAAGGAAAATATAAAGGCCTAAAACTTGAACTTAAAAAAATATTATATATAATTCATCCTATATCTGTGATATTTATCTCTGCAAAGATTTACTGACATTCAACTGACCTAGAATTTGTTTTTTATACTTGTAATGTCCTCTATTGAAATAAACATATTTTAAGGGCACTTGAGTGGCTCAGTCAGTTAAACCTCTGCCTTTGGCTCAGGTCATAATCCCAGGGTTCTGGGTTCGAGCCCCACTTGGGGCTCCCTGCTCAGCGAGAAGTCTGCTTCTCTCTTTGCCCCTCCCCTCTGTTCTTGCTTTCTCTCTCTCTCTGGTTCTCTCCCTCTTTCTCTCAAGTAAATAAAATCTTTTAAAAAAATTTAAATACGAAAAATTAAAAAGTAAACATTTTTTAAATGAAATCAGTATGTGCTCACTTTAGAAAATCTGTGACATATTACAAATAACAAGGAAGGGCACCTGGCTGGCTCAGTCAGTAAAGACTGTTAGTCTTGATCTGTGGGTGGTAAGTTTGAGCCCCATGTTGGGTGTAGAGATTTCCTTTTTTTTTTTTTTTAAGATTTTATTTATTTATTTGAGAGAGAGAGAGCATGAGAGGAGAGAGGTTGGCAGGAGAAGCAGACTCCCTGCTGAGCAGGGAGCCTGATGTGGGACTCGATCCCGGGACTCCAGGATCATGACCTGAGCCGAAGGCAGTTGCTTAACCAACTGAGCCACCCAGGCACCCCGGGTGTAGAAATTTCTTAATAAAATATTTTATTTTATGTTTTTAAGATTTTATTTATTTGGGAGAGAGAGAGAACACGAGTGAGGGGAGGGGCAGAAGGAAAGAATACCCAGGAAGACTCCCACTGAGCACGGAACCCAACATGGGGCTTGATCCCACAACCCATGAGGTTAGGACCTCAGCCAAAACCAAGAGTTGGACACTTAACTAACTGAATCACCCAGGCGCTCCGAAAATGAAATCTTTAAAAAAAAAAAAAAAAAAAAAAAAACTTAACAAGAAATAAACTTACATCAATCATAATTTTAATACCTGGAAAAATAACCACTGGTGATTTGTTGGGGCTTTTTTGTGGCGATATAAAATTGGAATTCAGTTGTTTACCATAGTTTATCATCTATATTTTTCTTTCCCCTAGCATTTTTCACTTGACATTATATCTTAAGCATTTCTTGTCATTAAACATCTTCAGAAGCATAAATTTTTTTTTTAAGATTTTATTTATTTGACAGAGATAGAGGGATCACAAGTAGGTAGAGAGGCAGACACAGAGAGGAGGGGAAGCAGGCTCCCTGCTGAGCAGAGAGCCCTGTGCAGGATCGATCCATGGACCCTGAGATCATGACCTGAGCTGAAGGCAGACACTTAACCCACTGAGCCACCCAGGCGCCCCCAGAAGCATAACTTTTATAATATCCTCACAATATCCAATATCACATGTATATCTCACACATTATTTAAACATTTACCTTTTCCCCTATTCTTAAGCATTTAGGTGGGTTTTGGCATTGTGATACAATGATAAAAAATACTGTAATCTTTGCATGAAATTTCTCCTGTATCTTTAGACACGTTCTGGTAAAAAGGTTTGAACTTTCTGAAGTGATTAACACTGTGTTAATGAAGTGTGCTAGCTCAGAGCTAATAATTTCCCATTTACTTAAGGGTAGGATTTTTTTTTTTTTAAACTACAAGACAATTGTCCTGTTAAATAGACTCCTATATATCTTACTTCTTTAACTTGACATATTATCTATCATAGACACCTTTCTGAGTTACTACCTTTATGTCTGGTTTTTCCTCGTTTCTTTAAACTTCACGCAGTTCATATATGAATGAGCCATAATTTGTAATTCGTCTAATCAACATTAACTGATCCCTCCTAGTTTCTCAGTGGGATAAATTTGCTACAGTTAAAATTACTTTTGTTCATTTGCATAATGTTTTGGAATTAGCATTGCTAGGTCAAAGGTTTTCTGCATTTTTAATTTTGATAAATATTGCCAAATTTCTCTTCCAAACAGAAGTTTCATGAATTTATACTTGTGAAAACAGTAAATGAGAATTCTTTTCCCGTCTTCTCTATAACACTGGACCTCCTCCTCTCTTACAGTATGATAAATGATATTTGGTATTTTACTTTAATTGGTAATTTTTGAAATTTTGAATAAGAGTACTCATTTTTTAAAAATTTTTTTAGCCATTTGTCTTCTCTGGGACATATTATAAATATTTGCTGCCTTCAATAAGTAATGCAATTAGGAGCAAATTTCTGCCTCTGTCTGACTTGATTTTTCAAAATTCTTTATTTCATATGATCAAGTTTGGATCAGTAGAGGTAAAAATGTTATGCAACATTTTATTATTTTCATGTTGTGTTTGCTTTTGCTCTTTTAAGTAGAGGTTTCTCTGCCTTTTTAGATTTTTCCATAGAAAAATAATTTTTTATTTTCAAATATATAGAATTTTATGTTTGTTTCTAGAATGTATATGTAGAATTTTATATCCGTTTATAGAATTATAAACAGAATTTTATGTGTGTGGCATATGAATGAAAGAATCTGTTTTTAGTAGTTCACTTACAGAGTTCTAAACTTGAGCTTTCGCTAAGGTGTTTGAGTCTAAGGACTTATTCACTAGAACTATGATGTATGATAATGAATATATTATTAACTCTAATATATGTAGTGCTGTGGTAATGGATAATTCTTTTAATTCCAATATAACTAACATACAGTGTTATATTAGTTTCAGGTGTACAATATAGTGATTCAGTAATTCTATACCTTACTCAGTGCTCACCCTGATACATGTACTCGTAATCCCCATCACCTATTTCACCCATGCCCCCCACTTACCTCCCCTCTAAAAAACCATCAGTTCTCTATAGTTAAGAGTCCGCTTTTTGGTTTGTCTCTTTTCTCCTTTGTTCGTTTATTTTGTTAAATTCCACATATGAGTGAAATCGTACGGTATTTGTCTTTCTCTGACTAACATTTCACTTAGCATTTTAATCTCTAGATCATCCCTGTCATTGCAAATGGTAAGATTTCATTCTCTTTATGGCTGAATAATAGTCAATGTATGTATATATGATACATCTTCTTTGTCCATTCATCTGTCGATGGGTGGACACTCGGTGCTTCCATAATTGAGCTATTGTAAATAACGTTGTAATAAACATACGGTGCTTATATCTTTTCAAGTTTGTGTTTTCATATTCTTTGGGTAAATACCCAGTAGAGGGATATACTGGTGATATATCAGTGGGATATATATAGTGGGATATGCCATGATATATCAGTGGGATATATATAGTGGGATATACCATCTGGTGATATATTTGTAGTTTTTTGAGGAATCTCCGTACTGTTTTCCACAGTGGTTGCACCATTTTATATTCCCACCAACAGTGCTTGAGGGTTCCTTTTTCTCCACATCTTTGCCAACACTTGTTATTTCTTGTGTTTTGACTTTAGCCATTCTGACTGAGTGAGGTGATAACCTCATTGTGGATTTGATTTATATTTCCCTGATGATGAATGATGTTGAGCATCTTTTCATGTGTCTGTTGGCCATCTGGATATCTTCTTTGGAGAAATGTCTGTTTGTGTCTTCTGCCTATGTTTTAATTGGATTGTTGTGTTTTGTGTGTGTATGTGTGTGTGTTGAATAATATAAGTTCTTTATATATTTTGGATACTAACCCTTTATTGGATATGTCTTTGCAAATATCTTCTCCCATTCAGTAGGTTGTCTTTTAGGTGTTTTTTTTTTTTTTATTGTTTCCTTTGCTGTGCAGAAGCTTTTTATTTTGAAGTAGTCCCAATAGTTTATTTTTGCTGTTGTTTCCCTTGCCTCAGGAGACATATATAGAAAAATGTTGCTATAGCCAACATCAGAGAAATTAGTAATGGCTAGTTTTCTTAAGATCTCACATACATTATCTCATTTGATGTATACTAACCTTGAACCTTAAAATGTTGAACAGCATGCTTAAAATTAAGATCACATTGTGGTTAACATGAGTCAGTCTCACTCTAAACTCCTGCTTTTTCTTTTTTTTCTTAGTAAATAAATCCACTAATGGGAGGTCCCCTGCCATCATCATATAATAACCTCCTGTTCTTGTTGCTATAACCAACTGAGAATGAGAAGCTCATCTTCTCCTGTTTTGTATATTATATTTAAGTAGTCAGTCCGTTCATTCATAAGTTTATTTCACATCCTTAAAATAATCATGTAAGTAAGCAAAAATGTAGCTTTTATTTTCACCCAAGAAGAAAAGCAATCTCAGGGAAATGATTTGTTTAAAGTCGACAGTGTGTTAACAAGGAGCCAGAATCAGAATGTAGGGTTTAGAGTTTCACATGTACCATGATCATCTGCCACTTGCCAAACCGAATGTATAGAATTTGATATATTAATAGCCTCTACATAAATAAAGTTGACAATGAAACAGAAAACAGAAGTACAGTCTTTTTCCATCTGCCTGACATTTTACAATTCTTCATTGCAAAACAGGCTTTAGGATATCAGCCTATCCATTTGTGAGATTCTATTTCTTCCACCTATCTGAGAATATAACGGCTGTTTTAGTTCTCCTAGGCCAAAAATCTCTAGAAAAGGCCATGAAATGAGAGTGATAAGAAACACACACACACATACTCACCCCACTCTGACTCTAAGTTAGAAATATTAAGGAGGTTTGAAGTATGAGGGTAAGATCCAAGACCAGTGTATCTTCAGTGAGGACAAAATTTTATTTAGGACTGGTTTCCATTTAAAATATAATAGAGTATATTGTTAGTATTAATAATATCATTCATATTTTGGTATCATATTTTATAAATTCACATTTTTTCAAAGATATGCATTTCTTAATTAATTTTTTTATACTTATTTCTAATGGAAAATCAGCTTAATTTAAATGGACATCAGTAAGAAACAGGGATCAATTAATAAAGTTGCCTTCCAATAAGATCTGCAGGGATCCCTGTACATACTTTCATTCTCTATTGCCACATCTGGGAGCGTCACTACTGAGTATGTTTTGTAATCTTTGTATGGCACAAATAACTATTTCTTCCGAAGTAAGTGTACACCCAAAGTCATCACTGGGACGTGGTAACGCATTGTTTACCCATCAATAAGATTTTCACTTTGAGTGTTTCTTATGGTAGGGATTGGAATTGCCAATCTGTCAATAATCTTTTTTATTTAGTTCTGGTCCCTTCTGTGAGAGAGACGGAATCAGAAGACTCAGCCATGACAATAAAATGTTTTTTCTCGGTGAAAACCTGACTGGATCTGGTCGGGATCTAACGAAAACTCACGAAGGGGTACCTCTTTACCACCCTGTTTAAATGAGTGGAGCCGACTGCTTTCAGTCATGAAATTAGTCCTTGGCAAGTTGTGTAGTACCCCAGCCTTTTAGACCCTCTGACTTAACTTCTTTTAGGAGGGAAAGTAGGTTGAACTCTCGTCCTGTCACTAATATTGGCTGCATATATGTCTTCTCTCTCAAAACAGCTCAATGGTTATTCGGGACTTAACCTTACGCAGCGCTGCTAGCTTCGGCTCCTTCCACCTGATCCGTCTGCTCTACGATGAGTACATGTTCTACTTAGTAGAACATCGTGTTGCTCAGGCAACAGGAGAGACACCCATCGCGGTCATGGGCGAGGTAAGAGAGTCCAGAAGAGCTGTGACTCACGGGGCTTTGACAAAAGAACCTGAATTTTGTTTTAATTTGAATATATTATTGATTGATGAAAGCAATGAAAGCCCTGAGGGGCTGTGGAGTTATTGGGGGGGGGGTCCTTAAATCCTTCTGTTTGTGTGTATTCTCTTAAAAGAGTCCAAAATTATAAATTACATTATGTGAACGTTCGTGGTATGGTTCAATATATTATAAAGGTGTCTGCTTGAAAGAAAACTTTGAGAATCACTGGACTGAAAAAAACCCTTATGGAACGGGAAGTAAGAAAGATTGATGTTGCTGATAAGGCAAAGGGCTAGGAATATAGAGAAGAGACTAAATACGTATTTTTGTAGGCTCTTTGTCCAAGTGCCCAGGAACAAAAGAAATGATTCTGTTTCAGAAGGATAGTAACGATGACAATGGTGCCAAAAGCTTATGTTTTGGGAGCACTGACTATGTGCCAGGCACAGCTCGAAGTCCTTTCTATGTAACAAAGCTCTGGACGCTTTCCGAGACAAGCACAGCTCTATCCCGGTTTACAGAGGAGTATCTAAGGTTGATGTAAAAAGCAAAGGACCCAGAAGAAATGTTTATGTAGCTCTGGTGGGTGATGGAGACTGTCTCAAGTACTCAGACTCTGGTTTTCAAATCAGGTTTCTCACTGCTGAAGGTATGAAGAAGAAAACATTCTCTTCATAGTTCTTAGTTAGAAAATAAAACTGTGTTGTTTTCAACGCGTGTCAGAAAGCTAACACTCCGAAGTAAATTTACAAGGAGTGGTGAACACGATGAGGGATGGGTACAAATGCTCAAGTGAATGTCCGCCATCTCATTTTGTTGTCCTGAACTGGGGGTTCTTCGGATCTTGCTAGATTATAAATATCAGGAAATATTACAAATTACCCAAAGCAGTAAAGAAGACAGGTTCATTTTGAAGCTGTGTGTATGTGGTTATTTAAGTTATAGAAAATCCAAGTAAATATTAGATGCTTTTCCTAGTTTAATAAATATGATAATAAAGGAATAAATTAAAAATATATTAAAATACCTCAAGATGCTTTGTAAGTATTCTACTATCAATAAAATCCATGTCAGACATCTTCAGTAGGTTGGGCAAAAGGTTTCCCTTTCCCTCTTTAAAATCCCTCTCGTGTGTTGATCTGTACGTGCTTGTGTGATGTTCTCAGTACTGGTTGTGCTTAAATCATGCCAGTTACATGTACATACATTCTATGTGCAAGATGAAGCAAGGATCACTGTAGCTTTTAGACAACAGGCAGGACCAAAATAATCTAGACTTTTCTTAAACTTGACCTTCCTTTAGAGCCTCTTGCAGTGGTTGTCTTACAAACGCCCAGTGGGCATGTAGATTAAGTACTGCAGAACTTCTCAAGTCAGGGCTCCCAACTTTAGAAACAGACTTGCCTTCCGGTATATTTAACCCATTTGCCAACCCCCTCGTCTATTCTGGGACTCCTTTAACAAGTGGTCAGCATAGTGATAGCAGGGGTTCTAATGAGTACCACGAGGCTAATCCTGATGCGTGGTCTTGGCTTCCCTTGCATCTCAAGAGCACAAAGGCTGTGGGCAGGAGCTGGTCACCCAGCGTGAGGGCTCAGCACGCCCCCTGCTTGTTGGTGCGGGCAGTGCTGGCTCACCAGGGTTAAGATGGTCTCATAGTCAGTACTGCCGTCTCATAGTACTGCTGATTGACTGTGCCTGTAGGCATTCTTTTGTTTTTGTTTTTTTTTTTACTTTATGTAAACAATGTGAATGAGTGTGACACATTCCCCCAAGAGGTGAAGATATAATAAGAATAAAATCTCTATTAGAAAATAAGGTATAAAATACCTTCTGGAAGACCTAAAATCTAAGAGCATCTCTTGATTTCTTTGCTTACTCTCTCCTTACCCAATTTATAAGACCATCCTTTGAGCTGTCTCTACTCATCCATTATTCAACCCCGGCCAATCAAGGCTCGTTTTATAGCTTTGTTCTCTCCATACAACAACATTGACGGCAACGTTGACGGCCTTGTATATCTGTTGGCCACTGCAGATCTGGAGGTCGTGGTCATATTATCATATCTAAAATTTCTTGATTCCTGGGAAGAAGAGAAGGAAATTCAGGAAAACAGAAGGCTATTTTCACATGTGTCTCTCCCTTGTTATCCTGTGGCTACCCTAGAATTCAGATTGGAGGTCAAAAGGGCTTTTGCATGTTGAGGCTCAGTTGCTTTCGTCCCTTAGGCGATTCCCCCTTCCAGACACCAAGTCCAGAAGTGCCCATGTACATGGCGGGAGCAACACCTTGGGCTCAAATCCATTGAAATCCATAAAGGTCACCATTACCCTCAGTTGGAGCCACTGGTTTTCAATCATCAGTAACGACAGCAAACATGATAATAGTTCTTAGTCTTTATTGAGAACTTGTTATGTACTTAATGAAATCAAACTCTTGATGTGTCTCCTAATGGCTCTTTCTCAGTAACCGGTACCACATTCTCCCTGCTGATCATGCTGGACATCTGAGCACTATCTTTTACATGACTCTTGTCCAGACCCCTATGTCCCCCCAATTACTAAGTCTGCTCTTCCCCAGACCTCCCAGAGTGCAGTCAGAATCATGTTATGAAAGTGCAGAGTAGACTGTGTCACCCCTACTGAAAACCCATCCGTGGTATTCTCTCCTGTTAGTGAAGGAACAAAATTCTCTCCTTGGTACACAAGGTCATGCTCAATCTGGCCCTGCCACTCAGATTAACCTCAGCCTCCCTCTTCCTATTCCATTTGCTGCCATCACAGTGGTCTTTTCTCTGTTCTTGTTCGCCAAGCTTTGCTCGTCATTGGACCACTGTGTAAATCGTTGTTTCTAGCCGGGACTTTCTGCCCAACTCCCCTTGCTCATTCTAACTCCTACTTCACATCTGAAATATCAGTTCCTCAGGGGGCTCCAATTCCTCCAAACTACCTTACATACCCCATTCTCTCTGATCTGTACTTTAACTTTTCATTCTAGAACCTGCACTATACTAGTCACATGGTTCTTTGTATGATATGTGTAAGTAAAGATTTAACGCCCTGGAAATAATAGAGGACTTTGAGTCAGGAGGATTCAATTCTCCTGGTAGTTCTGTCATTTGCAGTGGTATAATCTTGGGTGAATCATGTTCACTGATGTTGAGTCTTAGACTTATCTCTGAAATTAATTTATTCATTCATGTAACAGGTATTTCTTACACACCTGCTGTAGACCAAGTGCTATAATAATTAGGTTATAGTAATGAACCAAGTGGATCTTGGCCCTGCATTCAAGAAGCTTGTATTTTAGTAGGGGAGTCATATGTACTAGATGTTCACATAACTGTGGAGCTACAGAATTAGAGATATAGGAATACTTGAAGCATGAGGCCTTAAGCTAGCCTGGGAGTGCCAGGGAAGGCTCCCCCCAGCAGGGATGTTTGAAGTGAGATCGAAAGGGCAAAAAGGTTAGCTATGTGAATTGTGAGAATTGTGGTAAAGGGACACGGAGACATGTACACAGGTCCTCCCTGAATGGAAGGGAGTATGGCCAAAGGGAAGGTTCTGTGGAAAATGTGAGGGTCAAACAACCTCAAATTCAGTAGACAGGAGGTAGAATTGGATGAGGAAAGAAAACCAGAAACTTCAAGTGAAACCTGCATTCACATACCATTTATGTGCTGGGCACTGTTCTAAGTGTTTTATGTAGATTAACTTAATAATTCATGACAACTCAATGAATATTGTTATCCCTGTATAAAACCGTATGTATTTTTTTAAAGATTTTATTTATTTGACAGACAGAGATCACAAGTAGGCAGAGAGGCAGGCAGAGAAAGAGGAAGGGAAGCAGGCTCCCTTCTGAGCAAAGAGCCCTATACGGGGCTTGATCCCAGGACCCTGGGATCACGACCTGAGCTGAAGGCAGAGGCTTAACCCACTGAGCCACCCAAGCACCCCAAAACCATATGTATTTTACAGATAATGACATGAGACACAGAGCCATCAAGTAGCTCGCTAAGGTCACACAACCACTAATGGTGCAAAATCAGGCTTCAAAACCAAGCAGACTGGCCCCCAAATTCTTGGTGTTAATCCCCCACGCTTATCACCTGCTGCAGGATGGGGGATGGGAGCAGGAACTGTTGCGAAGTCAGACACAGACTTGGCCAGACATTGGTTTTGCCTTATGGGTTCTTTACTTGGGAGAGGTGGCAGCCAGCCAACTAGGTCCAGAAGCAAGGGGAAAAGTTTTCCTTTTAAAGTGACTTAGGGATCGTTAGTGTACCTTCATTAATGAGAAATCAACAAATAAATTTTAATTTTACAATTGTTTACATTATTTGAGCAGGCAGGAGAGACCAATCCATGTTTTACATATAAACCCAGATACAACGGTACAAAACTACTATTTTTGCATTCCCTGTATTACGCTACTGTAAATCCGTTGTTGGCATAAAGACTGCCATGTCAGAGCGTCCCCCAAAAGAAACAGAAACAGAATCTCACCCCACGTGTTTTCATCTAAATGTCAGTCCACTGTCACAGTAATGCTGACTAGTAAGTTATTCAAAGCACGTGCAAGTCCAGAGTTTCGTGGTTAAGTTTTTTGCCTGGATGATAAAAAGGAAACAGAGTTTATTTGCTGCTAAAATTATGTATTTTTTTGGAACTTTAATACTATAAATACACACAGAGACTCTCTGGGAGTGGAGAAATTTTAAGAGTAGGAATAAAATAAACAAGTTGCATCTGTTTGCACACCTGTTAAATGAAAATTTTAAAAAACCAGGGCTTTTTGTACAGCCCTGACGAGAAAAATTGAGCAGGAAACTATCCTATTATTTGAATTTTATGATTATTTGGAGTCTCTCTGGAAGTTTATTTCCTTAAAATAGGCATAGTCCATTAAAATATTCAGCTGAGTCTATAAATTTTGGTGGCTGCATAAAATGATTTTCT